AATCTTTCAGTTTTAATTCTTCTAGATATGATTCAATTTCCTGATGAATCTGAACTTAGAGAGAATAACTTATTTATTAAAATTAAAGATGTGGGGAAAATGTGTTGACTAAACCAAGATAGTCAATAAGAGACAGACAACACAGAAAGTAAAATGTTGTTCTTCAGAAGTGGAAGAGAGAAGAAGACAGTTCATTGGACATTAAATTGTACTTTTTAAAGATAAAAGTGATCTTTTTCAAAATAATGTAAATCTACATAAAAGTACTAAATGTATAGTTTAAGTGTACAACTTTAAAATGTTTAAGTTGGTTATTTTATGGTTTTAATCACAAATATTTACATCTATCAAAAAATAGTTACATTTAAAACAATTACTTAAAATAACAAGTGTTTTTCTCACACAATAACATATATTTAACCAATAAATAGATGGTAATTTTAGCTGCCTTTTTGACTACTCTTCTAGACAATAAAACACTGACAACCACTAGAGAAAAGAGATAAATGAGGTAATTAATAAACAAAATGGGCAATATTTATATAGGCAAATATCACATAAGTAACTTATATAGGCAATGGAAATGTCTGACTTATGAGGCCGGGCACGGTGGCTCATGCCTGTAATTCCAGCACTTTGGGAGGCCAAGGCAGACAGACAACAAGTTCAAGAGTTTGAGACGAGCCTGGCTATCATGGTGAAACGCTGTCTCTACTAAAAAAAACAAAAAATTAGCTGGGCTTGGTGGTGTGTGCCTGTCGTTCCAGCTGGTCAGGAGGCCGAAGCAGGAGAATTGTTTGAAGCTTTCATGCGGAGATTGCAGTGAGCCGAGATTGTGCCACTGCACTCCAGCCTTTAAAAAAAAAACAACAATTAACTCCATATGGATTAAATACTTAAATACAAGACCTAACACCATAAGAAACCTAGAAGAAAATCTAGGCAAAACCATTCAGGACATAGGCATAGGCAGGGACTTCATAACCAAAACACCAAAGCATTGGCAACAAAAGCCAAAAAAGACAAATGGGACCTAATCAAACTCCACAGCTTTTACACAGCAAAAGAAACAGTCATTAGTGTGAATTGGCAACCAACGGAATGGGAAAAAATTTTTGCCATCTACCCATCTGACAAAGGGCTAACATCCAGAATCTACAAAGAACTAAAACAGATTTACAAGAAAAAAAGCCCATTCAAAAGTGGGTGAAGGATATGAACAGACACTTTACAAAAGAAGACATATATGAGGCCAACAAACATATAAAAAATGCTCATCATCACTGGTCATTAGAGAAATGCAAATCAAAACTACATTGAGATACCATCTCACACCAGTTAGAAAGGGAATCATTAAAAAATCTGGAGACAATAGATGCTGGAGAGGATATGGAGAAATAGGAACAGTTTTACACTCTTGGTGGGAGTGTAAATTAGTTCAACCATTGTGAAAGACAGTGTGGCAATTCCTCAAGGACCTAGAAATAGAAATTCCATTTGACCCAGCAATCCCATTACTGGGTGTATATCCAAAGGATTATAAATCATTCTAGTATGAGGACACATGCACACGAATGTTCATTGTAGCACTGTTTACAATAGCAAAGACTTGGAACCAACCGAAAAGCCCATCAATGATAGACTGGACAGGGAAAATGTGGAACATATACACCATGGAATATTATGCAGCCATAAAAAATGATGAGTTTGTGTCCTTTGTAGGGACAAGAATGAACTTGGAAACCCTCATTGTCAGGAAACTGATACATGAACAGAAAATCAAACATTGCATGTTCTTACTCAAAGCAGGTGTTGAACAATGAGAACACATGGACACAGGGAGGAGCATCACACACTGGGGTTTGTCAGTGGGAAATAGGGGAAGGACAGCGTAGGGTGGGGAGTTGGGGCGAGATAGCATGGGGAGAAATGTCAGATATAGGTGATGAGGAGGAAGGCAGCAAATCACACTGCCATGTGGGTACCTATGCAACAATCTTTCATGTTCTTCACTTGTACCCCAAAACCTAAAATGCAACACAAAAAAGTGTGACTTATACTTGTTTTCTAAAATTTGCCCCAAGTGAAACCCAACTATGTGTATTTGAATTAAACACCACATTTTAATGAATAATACAGAGTGAAAATTACAATCCAACTCATATATATAAGGTTAAAAACAAAAACACAAATAATCGAAAGAAACCTTGATGAATAAAACCATGCAGTAAAGTGGATTTTAAAACAAAACATGTTGATCTGTATAATACAGAATATTAGCATAGATGTATCAGAAAATAATTCTTTAAATAACTAGTTTTCTAACGTAACTATGAACATATAAAAATCTGACATTTTATTGTCATGCAATGTATAGCAGTAAAATTTAACAAAAAAATGCACTATAAGAATTAGTGAAAGGCTAAAATGGAACCTTTTAATTAATAAGTAGTTTAAAGATATTAGGTAATGTTATTTATGTTATTAATATATTGGTGCTATTACACAAAATATAAGATCCATAATACAGCCATATGAACACAAGAAAATAATATTACAAAGCAAAAAATAATATAATTTTGTATATTACTGTGAGAATAATTATATATAAAATAAATATTGGAATTCAATTTTATCATTATTTATGTATTGGTTGAGAAAAGTGAATGATTTCTGTAATGGTGGTGCATGAATTACTTTTAACTCAGGGATAAAAGCTACAAGACGAAAGTATTAAAAATACATATAGCTTAAATAATTTGTTGTTAGATACACAATATAAAAAATGTAAAGTGTGATATAAATCATATATTAAAGAGAATAAAACTGTTGAGTGTTTCTATACATAGCAGTTGAATTGTTTTTATCTTAAGCTAGGCTGTTATAACTATGAGATGTTTTATGTAAGTCTCTTGGTAATTAACAGAAAATTTGTAGTATATACACAAAACAAAAAAGGAATCAAACGGCAGGGCACAGTGGCTCATGCTTTTAATCCCAGCACTTTGGAAGTCCAAGGCAGGGGGTCACTTTATGTCGGGAGTTTGAGACCAGCCTGACCAACATGGTGAAACCCCATCTCTACTAAAAATACAAAAATTAACTAGGTGTGGTGGTGGATTCCTGTAATCACAGCTAGTCAGGGGGCTTGGGCAGGAGAATTTCTTGAATATCAGAGGCGGAGGTTGCTGTGAGCCAAGACTTCACTATTGCACTCCAGCCTGGGCAATAAGAGTGAAACTTGATCTCAAAAAAAGAAAGAAAAGAAAAGAAAAGAAAGAAAGAAAGAAAGAGAGAGGAAAGAAAAGAAAGAAAGAAAGAAAGAGGAAAGAAAGAAAGAAAAAGAGAGAAAGAAAGAAAGAAAAAGAAAGAGAGAAAGAGAGAAAGAAAGAAAGAGAGAAAGAAAGGAAGGAAGGAAGAAAGAAAGAAAGAAAGAAAGAAAGAAAGAAAGAAAGAAAGAAAGAAAGAAAGAAGAAAGAAAAAGAAAGAAAGAAAGAAAGAAAGAAAGAAAGAAAGAAAGAAAGAAAGGAAGGAAGGAAGGAAGGAAGGAAGAGAAAGAAAGCAGTGGAGAGGAAAGGCAGCTTATATTCATTCATTCGTTCATTCATTGATTCATTCATTGATTCATTCGTGTTTCCATCCAAAAAGCCCATTGTTTGTGTTTTCCTCTTATAAAAGCTCACTAAGGCAGGGACAGTGATTCATTCATTGGCCTGGGGCATGCCTACTGTGGATCAAGTATTTGGTGTTTATTGACTGAGTGACTGAATGTAAAGGGCACTTGAGTTGTCCAGGCACAGTGGCTCACACTTGTAATCCCAGCATTTTAGAAAGCCAAAGCAGGAGGATTACTCGAGACCAGGAATTTGACACCAGCTCAGGCAACAGAGAAAGACCCCATCTCTACAAAACATAAAAAATTTAAAAAATTAGCTGGTTCCAGTGGCTCATGCGTGTAATTCCCACATTTTGGGAGGCTGAGGTGGGAGAATTGTTTGAAGCCAGGAGTTTGAGACTAGCCTGGGCCATATAGGAAGACTTCATATTTGCAAAAAATTATTTTAAGTTAGCTGGGTTTGGAGATGCACACCCATGGCCCCAGCTACTCAGGAGGCTGAGGCGAGAGGATTGCTTGAGAGCAATAGTTCGAGGCTGCTGTGAGCTATGATCACACCACTGCACTCCAGCCTGGGCTACAGAGAGAGATTCTGTCTCAGTCAATCACTCAATCAACTAATAAAGTGTGTAAAGGGCTGACTGCATTGCTTGACAAGCATGCAAGGAATGTTTATGGCTATATTTTAGGGAATATGCTAGGTGCTTTGGGGATGCAGAGATAAAAATGGTAGTGTCCTTGACCTCAAGAAGTTTACAGACTTGTCGGGGGACGGAGTTGTGACCAGGTTATAATACAGTCTGGCTAGGGCATCTGTTATAAGAGCCAAGAGGCTGGGTATGGTAGTTCATGCCTATAATATCAGCATGCTGAGAGGCTGAAGTGGGCAGATCACCTGAGGTCAGGAGATTGAGACCAGCCTGGCCAACATGGTGAAACTACATCTCTAATAAAAATACAAAAATTAGCTGGGCATGGTGGTTGATGCCTATAGTCCCAGATACTTGGGAGGCTAAGGCAGGAGAATCACTTGAACTTGGAAGACAGAGGTTGCAGTAAACCACATTCGAGACACTGTACTCCAGCCTTGGAGACAGAGTAAGACTCCATCTCAAAGAAAAAGTTTACAGACTTGTGGGGGGACAGAGTTGTAAACAGGTCGTAATACAGTTGACTAAGGCATCTGTTGTAAGTATCCAGAGGCTGGGCATGGTGACTCATGCCTGTAATGCCAACACTTTGGGAGGCCGAGGAGGGTGGATCATCTCAGGTCAGAAATTGGAGACCAGCATGGCCAGCATGGTAAAATCCTGTCTCTACCAAAAATACAAAAATTTGCTGGGCATGGTGGCATATGCCTGTAATCCCAGCAATGCAGGAGGCTGAGGCAAGAGAATCACTTGAACCCAGGAGGTGGAGGTTGCAGTGAGCTGAGATTGTGACAATGCATTCCAGCCTGGGTGGCAGAAGGAGACTCTTGAAAAAAAAAATAAAGAAGATATAGAACAATTCCATTGCTCTAGAAAGTTTCCTGTGCTCCTCTTCATTAGTTAATTTTCCTCAAAACTCACCACCCCAGGCCATGGCAGTCACTGACCTGCTTAATTTCTTCTTTTTTTTAGACAGGGCCTTGCTCTGCGGCTCTGGCTGGAGTGTAGTGGTGAGATGTCAGCTCACTTCAACCCCTACATCCCTGGCTCACATTATCCTCTCCTACAGAGTAGCTGGGACTAGTTTTTGTAGAGACAGGGTTTTTTCATGTTGCCCAGCTTCCCCCTTCTTGTTTAGCTCACTGTAACCTCAACCTCTTGGGCTCAAGTAATCCTCCTACCTCAGCCTCCCGAGTAGCTGGACTACAGGTGCACACCACATGCACAGCTAATTTTAATTTCTTTTCGTAGAGACGGGAGTTTCCCTGTGCTGCCCAGGCTTGTGCCAAACACCTGGGCTCCCCCATTTCAGCCTCCTGAGTAGCTGGGACAGTAGACATGAGACACTGCGCTCTGTCCTGCTGGGATATTTTCATGGGGGCTTCTCCAGTTCCATGTAACAGTGCAAGTGACCTATATTTTGGGGACACAGGGACCTCAGGATGCCAGTGGTGGCCATGGTGGTTTAGGCTTTGACACAGCTATGGGGGTGTGGATAAGGGATATGGGGAAGCCCCCCATCATTCCTGATCAAGGGAAGCTCAATGTCTGTGATGAGACTCTCCCCAACCCAAAACAGCCAGGAGGGCCAGATGTGGTGGCTCATGCCTGTAATCCCAGCACTTTTGGAGACTGAGGTGACCTGAGGTCAGGAGTTTGCAACCAGCCTGGCCAACATGGTGAAACCCTCTCTCTACTAAAAATACAAAACTTAGCTGAGCCTGGTGGCAGGCACCTGTGATCCCAACTATTTGGGAGGCTGAGGCAGGAGAATCACTTGAACCTCGGAGGCAGAGGTGGCAGTGAGCCACGATTACACCACTTGAATCACTTGAACTTGGAAAGTGGAGTCTGCAGTGAGCCAAGATTGTGCCAGTGCACTCCAGCCTAGGTGACAGGGAGACTCTTCTCAAACACACATACACACTAAAGTAAAATAAAATATTTTAAAAATTGAATACTACAAAATCTTTTTAATTAAAAAAAAAACCAGAAACCTAGTCCACCAGCCAGCACTGGCCCCCACTGTGGCCCTGACACCAACAGGGTGGCCAGCCATGCCTTCTGGTCCAGAGCAAAGTTTTCAGAAGATAAGAACTCTGTGGTTTTCAGCAAGGAGACAGTAAAAAGATTTTCTTAATTGGCTTCCTGTCATAGTCCTTGGGACACCGGGTAACTGATTCCTCCTGGCTCCAGCCTACCTTGATACTGATGTGCAAGTTGGCACTGATGTGCAGATAACCGATGAAGCACAAGAGCAAATCCTCAGTGCCAAACCTGCAGAACTAGACCAGCCTTGTGTAAAATTCCCAGGCCAGATCTCTGAGCCCCAAGGCCTCCTTTGCATACCTTGGCTCTGTGTTTGATCTGGTTTCATGTCCTATTTCAGCTCCACATTGTGCCATGAGAACCCTCTCTACAGGTCCATATTTGAACTTGAAAGACTTTGACCCTTCCCAGTGGCCACAAACATGTCTCATTCTGTCACTCAGGCTGGAGTGCAGTGGTGCCATCTCAACTCACTGAAACCTCCACCTCACAAGTTTAAGCGGTCTTCTGCCTCAGCCTCCTGAGTAGCTGCGATTACAGGTGCATGCCACCACACACAGATAATTTTTTGTGTTTTTAGAGACAGAGTTTTGCTCTAGTCCCCTAGGCTGGAGAGCAGTGGCACAATCTTGGCTGGCTCACTGCAGACTCCACCTCCCAGGTTCAATTGATTCTCCTGCATCAGCCTCCCAAGTAGCTGGGATTATAAGTGTGTGCCACCACACTTGCCTAATTTTTGTATTTTTCGTAGAGACAGGGTTTCACCATGTTGGCCAGGCTGGTCTTGAACTCTTGACCTCAGGTGATCCACCAGCCTCAACCTCCCAAAGTGGTGGGATTAAAGGCATGAGCCACCACGCCCAGCCTAATTTCTGTATCTTTATTTTTATTTTATTATTTTATTTTATTTATTTTTGAGACAGAGTCTCACTCTGTTGCCCAGGCTGGAGGCGATGGCAGGATCTCGGCTCACTGCAACCTCACCTCCCTCCTCAGGTTCAAGTGATTCTCCTGCCTCCGCCTCCTGAGTTGCAGAAGTGTGTGTCTATATGTGTGAATGTGTGTATGCATATGTGTATGTGTGTATGTGTGAGTGTGTGTGTGTTTTATGTACTTATTACTAAGCTTTGAATTTTCAGATTCCTGCTTTCTGGCTGTGAGTTTGAGGCAAACAATTATGGTTAAAAATATTTGCTGGCTGAGCATGATGGCTCCAGCCTGTAATTTCAACACTTTGGGAGGTGGAGGTGAGAAGATTACTTGAGCCCAGGTGTTTGAGACCAGTCTGGGCAACATAATGAAACACCATCTCTAAAATTAGCTGGGCATGGTGGCACGTATTTGTAGTCCCAACTACTCTGGAGACTGAGGTGGGAGGATGGCTTGAGCCCTGGAGATTGAGGCTGCTGTGAGCTGTGATTCCACCACTGCACTCAGCCTGAGCAACAGAACGGGACCCTCTCTCTCTCTCAAAAATAAAACAATAAAAAGAAATAAACCAAAAAATCATTTACTTGCACAAAAAGACAAATACTATATGTCTTTTTGTATAGAAGTACCCAGATTAGTCACATTCATAGAGACAGTAAGTCTCTGGTGTTTGCCAGGGGTGATGAGAAGGAGGATCAGAGTTGTCCAATGGGGATAAAGTTTCAGTTTTGCAAGATAAAATGAGTTTTGAGGGTTGGCTGCTCAATAGTGTGAATGCACTTAAAGCTACTGAACTGTACACTTAGAAATGATTAAGATGATAAATGTTACATGTATTTTACCATAATTTAAAAAATTTTAATTGTATGGTCTACAGGAACTCATGACTATTTTGTGACTTTGTAAGACCTAATTAATAGCAGATGCCTTTTTTTTTTTTTTTTTTTAGATAGAGTCTTGTTTTGTTGCCCAGGCTAGAGTGCACTGGCACAATCTCAGCTCACAGCAACTTCTGTCTCCTGGGTTCAAGTGATTCTCCTGCCTCAGCCTCCTTAGTAGCTGGACATGTGCCACCACACCTGATAAATTTTTGTGTTTTTGGCAGAGATGGGATTTCACCATGTTGGCCAGGCTGGCCTTGAACTCCTGCCCTCAAGTGATCTCCCTGCCTAAACTCCCATAGTGCTGGGATTACAGGTGTGAGACATGGCACATAACCAATAGTGAATGAATTTTTAAATGGGGATAGTGGTAAATACAAGGACTTTGCAGGCACAGAGTATGAAATAAAAGTTAGGATGGGTTGTAGATATGGTTATGATGATATAAAAAATGTGCTACAGATAAACAGTGTGGCCTTAGGAATAGAGGATGTGTGATCCCTGTTATGGAAATATCTGGTCCATAGCAGCCTGAGTTTTGCTACCAGTAACTTCCCCTTGGTTTCCAAGGCAGCACAACAGAGGGCTTCTGTTTTTTTGGAGGAAATTCACTGTATGTGTGTTTGTTTGTTTATTTATTTATTTATTGAGACATAGTCTCACCCTATTAACTAGGCTGGAGTGCAGTGGCTCCATCTCAGCTCACTGCAATATGCACCTCCCAGGCTCAAGCAATCTTCCCGCCTCAGCCTCCCAAGAAGCTGGGACCACAGGCAAGAGTCATTACCTCTGTCTAACTTTTGTATTTCTTGTAAAGATAAGATTTTGCTATTTTGCCCAGGCTGTTCTTGAACTCCTGAGCTCAAGCAATCTTCTCTTGGCCACCCAAAGTGTTGGGATTACAGGCCACTCTGCCTGATACATAGAATGGTTAGATCCCAGCCAAAAGGCCCAGAAGTGATGAGAGTAGTTTGTTTTAAATTAAGACTTATTTTGAAAAATTCTGAGTTTAGTTCAAATGTACACAGGTGCTTTGCAGAGAAAGATAATACTAGAGAATCTTTTTTTTGAGACACAATCTTGTTCTGTTGCTCAGGCTGCAAAGTGGTTGTAGAGTCACGACTCACTGAAGCCTCAACCTCCTGGGCTCAAGCAATCCTCTCACCTAGATGTCCTGACTAGCTGGGACTACAAGTTCCTGCCTCTACACCTGGCTAATTTTTCATTCTTTTTGTATAGTAGGTTTTTACCAGGTTGTAATCCTGCTGGTATCAAACTCTTGGCCTCAAGCAATCCACCAACTTTGGCCTCCCAAAGTGCTGGGATTACATGCATGAGCCACTGCACCCAGCGTATGGCCTAGAGAAAATTATTACTATTATTATTAATTTTTGAGACTGCATCTCACTCTGTCACCCAGGATGGAGTGCAGTGGCATGATCTTGACTCACTGCAGCCTCCACCTCCTGGGTTCAAGTTATTTTCCTGTCTCAGCCTCCTGAGTAGCTGGGATTATAGGCACCCACCACCACATCCAACTAATTTTTGTGGGTGTTTTTTGTGTTTTTAGCAGAAACAGCATTTCACCATGTGGACCAGGCTGGTCTCGAACTTCTCACCTCAAATGATCCACCCATCTCAGTGTCCCAAAGTGTTGGGATTACAGACATAAGCCATTGATCCTAGCTAGAAAAAATTATTCTTGGTAATGGCATGGGGAACATTTCTGAAACATTCACATTTGAAGATTCCTTATTAATGAATTCCTCTGACTTAAAACTAAGCAAAAACCAGTAATATTTTCTTTTTTTTTTTTTTTTTTTTTTTGAGATGGAGTCATGCTCTGTCCCTTAGACTAAAGTGCAGTGGTGTGATCTCGGCTCATTGCAACCTCGGCTTCCTGGGTTCAAGTGATTCTTCTGCCCCAGCCTCCCTAGTAGCTGGGACTACAGGCCCACTCCACCACACCTGGCTAATTTTTTTTTTTATTTCTAATAGAGATGAGGTTTCATCATGTTGGCCAGGCTGGTCTTGAACTTCCAACCTTGTAACCTGCCCGCCTCGGCTTCCCAAAGTGCTGGGATTATAGGTGTGAGCCACAACACTCAGCCAAAAACCAGTAATATTTTCATTATAGAGGCTTAATAAGCTCAGTTGCAACCAATAAAGTACTTAATTAGTAAAAAACAAGCAAAATAAATCCCCTAAAACCCAAACGTCTGAATATAAACATAATTTTTAGGAAGAGAAATAGAAGAAGAAAGGAGAAAGATGCTGATATAATGTATTTGAGTAGTCATCTAATGCCTTCAGTCACTGGAGCATTAATTTCAGGAGTGTCCTTATATGCATATTAAATTAAAGATCTCACAAATTATAGGTCACAGGTAACCACTTTCAACGTTGAATAATGCCATAATGATGCTAGTTAAAATGCTACTATCATCCCAAAGTGAAAGTATGCCCATTTAACTCCAGAGGTTTGGTTTTTTGGGGATAGATTTTGAGGGCAGCCAGTTTCATACCCCAGGGATCTGTTCAGTTAAATTTGAAGCAGCTGTTTAACAGATTTATTTCTACACCAGGAATGAAAGAAAGAAAGAAAAAGAAATAAAGAAAGAAAGAGAGAGAGAGAGAGAAAGAAAGAAACGAAGAGAGAAAGAGAAAGAGAGAGAAAGAAGAAAGAGATAAAAGGAAGAATGGAAGGAAGAAAGGAGGAAGGGAGAGATGGAGGGAGGGAGGGTCAGGCATGGTGTCTCATGCCTGTAATTTCAGCACTTTGGGAAGCTGAGGTGGGTGGATCACCTGAGCTCAGGAGTTCAAGGCTAACCTAGCCAACGTTACAAAACCCTGTCTCTATTAAAAATACAAAAATTAGCTGAGTGTGGTGGCAGGCACCTGTAATCCCAGCTACTCAGGGGGCTGAGGCAGGAGGATTGCTTGAACCAAGGAGGTGGAAGTTGTGGTGAGATGAGATGGTGCCATTGCACTCTGGGCAATGAGTGAAACTCTGACTCAAAAAAAAAAAAAAAAAAAAAAAGAGAGGAGACAGAGAAGAGGAAGGAAGAAAGGAAGGAAGGAAGGAAGGAGGGAAGATAGATCTAACTGGGAGGCCAACTGGGAGGATCTCTTAAGGCGAAGAGTTGAAATCAGCCTGGGCAACATAGCAAGACTCCATCTTTACAAAAAATTAAAAAAAAATTAGCTGGACGTGATGGCTTGCACATGTAATCCCAGCTACTTAGGGGGCTGAGGCAGGATGATTGCTTGAGCACAGGAGGTCAAGGTTGCAGTGAGCTATGATTGCAGGAATGCACTCCAGCCTGGATGACACAGCAAGATCTTGTCTCTAAAAAAAAGAAAGAAAACTTCAAATTCAAATAATGTCATTTTCCACTACTACTTGAAGAACTGCTGCTACCTCACAGAAAATTGTTATAAACTTCAAGTTTAGGCAAGAGTCCACATTCACTGTCTTCCAAAGCGTTCCTACAGTCAACACCACTGTGTAAAGTTCCATTAGACCAAACCCTTGGGAATCACTGGCCTGCAAACTGCAGTTTATTATTGTGGGTCAGTTTGAAAGTGGTTATTCTAACAATGTGCTTAGAAATCAAAAAATAATATTTCTTTTTTTTTTTTTTTTTTGAGACAGAACTTCTCTCCTGTCCAGGCAATGGTGCAATCTCTGCTCACCACAACCTCCACCTCCCGGGTTCAAGGGATTCTCCTACCTCAGCCTCCCGAGTAGCTGGGACTACAGGCATGTGGGACCAAACTTGGCTAATTTTGTATTTATTTTTAGTAGAGATGGGTTTTCTTCATATTGGCTAGGTTCGTCTCAAACTCCTGACCTCAGCTGATCCTCCCACCTCGAGGTCCAAAAGTGCTTGGATTACAGGTGTGAGCTACCACACCAGGCCTTTTATTTTTTTCTTAAATTGAGATAGAGTTCACTCTGTGACACAGGCAGGAGTGCAGTGGTGCAATCTTGGCTCACTGCAACCTCCGCCTCCCAGGCCCAAGTGATTCTCCTGCCTCAGAATCCTGAGCAGCTAGGACTACAGGTGCATGCCACCATGACTGGCTATTTTTTGTACTTTTATTAGAGATGCGATTTTGCCATGTTGGCCAGGCTGATCTCAAATTCCTGACCTCAAATGATCCACCCATCTCAGCCTCCCAAAGTGCTGGGATTATAGGTGTGAGCCACTGTGCCCTGTAAGAATTTTTTTTTTTCAATACTCAGCTAAGGATTAGCTCCTCCTTGGAAATGTCCTCCAACTCATCCATGCAGGCTGGGCTGTGTTCTCTGCTTTGTTTCTGCCTGCAGGATTTCCTGCCTGCTGATAGGGGCCTATGTATTATTACTGTATTTACTGATGTAGCACTGTATCAGTTTTTTGGTAATTTTTTTTTCTTTCTGAGACTGAGTCTCACTCTGTCGCCCCAGGCTGGAATACAGTGGCACAATCTCAGTTCACTGCACTCTCTGCCTCCCAGGTTCAAGCAATCCTCCTGCCTAGCATCCTGAATAACCAGGACTACAGGCCTGTGCCACCACCTCCAGCCATTCTTTCTAAAGAAGTTTATTATTAGCCGTGTGTGGTGGCTCCTGCCTATAATCCCAGCTACTCAGAAGATTGAGGCATGAGAATGGCTTGGAGCCAGGGAGCAGAGGTTGCAGTGAGCTGAGATCACACTATAGCTCTCCAGGCTGGGCAACAGAGTGAGACTCTGCCTCAAAAAGAAAAAAGTTTATTGTCTTGCAGGTCTGGAGGCCAAAGCCCAAAATGAATGTGTCAGTAAGGCTGATTCCCTGTTGAGCCATGTTAAGTGGATGATGATGACAAGGATGATGGTCAGAATCTGAATCTGTCCCATGCCTCTGTCCTAGTGCCTGGTGGTTCCCTGGCAACCTTTGGCATCCGTCAGCTGGTAGATGCATAGCTTCAAACATGCACCTTCATGTGGTGTTCTTGTTGGATCTCCTTACCTAGTCTTCCTTTTGTCTCTGTGTTCAAATTTTCTCCTGTTTTATTTTCTTTCTGAGAGAGGATCTTGCTCTGTTGAACAGGCTGGAATGTAGTGGCATGGACATAGCTCACTTTAGCCTTCAACATCTGGGCTCAAGCAATCCTCCTGTCTCAGCCTCCTGAGTAGGTGGGACCACAGGCATGTGCCACTGTGGCTGGCTAATTAATTTTTTTTTTGTAGAGATGGAGTTTTGCTGTGTTGCTCAGGCTAGACTTGAACTCCTGGCCTCAAACATCACTCCTCCCTCAGCTTCCCAAAGTGCTGGGATCACAGGCATGAGCCACTGTGCACAGCCTTCCCTTTATCAAGTTGGGAAACCATAACTTACACTTAATGGTAATTTTCCTCCTCTCCTCTCTTCCCTTACCCCCATCTCCTTACCTCTTTTCTCCTCCCCTCTCTCCCCCTCCCCTACCCTCCCCAACATGAGAATTTGGAGATTGTAGTGAGGCAAGGTCATGACATTGCACTCCAGCCTGGGCAACAGAGCAAGACTCCATCTCAAAACAAATAAAGAAAAGAAAGAAAATATTGATGCATGCTACAACAGGCATGAACCTTTGAAACATATGCTGAGTGAAAGAATCAAGTCACAAAGGGCCACATATTATATGAGTCCATTTACATGAACGCCCAGAATAGGCAAGTCCACAGAGACAGACAGTAGATTACAACAGCCTAGCACTGCTGGGGAAAATGAGACATGAGTACTAAAGGGCACCAGGTTTCTTTCTGAGGTGATGGAAATGTTCTAAAATTGACTGTGCCTGGGTACAGTGGCTCATGCCTGTAATCCCAGCACTTTGTGAGGCCAAGGTGGAAGGATTGCTTGAGGTCAGGAGTTCAAGACCAGCCTGGGCAACATAGCAAGACCCTGTCTCTATCGAAAAAAAAATTAGCCAGGCATGGTGGTGCACTCCTCTACCCAGCTACTCAGGAGGCTCGGGCCGGAGAATTGCTTGAGCCCAGAAGTTCCAGGCTGCAATGAGCTATGATCCTACAAAAGCACTCCAGTCTGGGCAACATAGAGAGACCCTGCCTCTAGATACAATTTTAAAATAAAAAATAAAAAATAAATTGTGGTATATCTATCTGGAATATTAACTGTTACTTAGTTATACAAAATATAATCAACAAAGAATATGTTCATAATATGATGGTTAGTTAAAACAACAAGGTGATAAAATTATATCTGAACCAAACATATTTTTGTAGGAAACACTGTTGGTTGACTACCCAGGCTTATTTTGTGCTCTTTTTATTTTTCTTTTGAGATGGGGTTTTGCTGTGTTGCCCAGGTGGGTCTCAAATTCCTGCCTCAAGTGATCCTTCTGCCTTAATCTCCCAAAGTGCCAAGATTATAGTCATGAGCTACCGCTCCCAGCCCACTTGGATTCTTTAGAATGTCACTGAGCTCCACCAGCCCTAACACTGGCTGCCTGTAGGTTTCCCACTTCCTGGGATCATGCATCATTAAAGCTTTATGTTAATTTTACCCTGTTTGAGTCAGGTAGTTTTTGTTATCTGATGAAAGCATCCTACCTAATACAATATTCATAGAAGAGGCCAGGAGCAGTGGCTCACACCTGTAATCCCAGCACTTTCAGAGGCTGAGGCAGGCAGATCAGCTAAGGACAGGAGTTCGAGACCAGCCTGGCCAACATAGAGAAACCCTGTTTCTACTAAAAATACAGAAATTAGGCCAGGCCCATGGCTCATGCCTATAATTCCAACACTTTGGGAGGCCAAGGTGGGTAGATCACTTGAGACCAGGAGTTTGAGTCCACCCTGGCTAATAAGGTGAAGACCCATCTGTACTATAAATACAAAAATCAGTGGGGCGTGTAGTCCCAGCTACTCAGGAGGCTGAGGCAGGATAACTGGTTGAAGCTGGGAGGTGAAGGTGCAATGAGCCAAGATTATGCCACTGCACTCCAGCCTGGGCAACAGTGTGAGACCCTGGCTCAATCAATAAATATATAAGTAATTTTTTAAAAATACAAAAATTAGCCAGGCCTGGTGGTACATGCCTGTAATCCCAGCCATTCCAGAGGCTGAGGCATGAGAACTGCTTGACCCTGGGAGGCAAATGCTTTGGTGAGCTGAGATTGAGACATTGTACTCCAGTCTGGGCAAAAGAGCAAGATTTCATCTCAGAAAAAGTAAGCATAGAAGAAAGAGTGGAAGGGAGTGAAAAAATATAAGTAGTGGCTGGGCACAGTGACTCACACCTGTAATTGCAGCACTTTGGGAGGCCAAGGAGTATAGATCACCTGAGATCAGGAGTTCAGGATCAGCCTTGCCAACATGGTGAAATCCCAATCTCTACTAAAAATAAAAAATTAGCCAGTTGTGGTGACACATGCCTGGAGTCCCAGCTACTCGGGAGGCTGAGGCAGGAGAATTGCTTGAACCTGGGAGGCACAGGTTGCAGTGAGCTGAGATTGTGCCACTGCACTCCAGCCTGGGTGACAGAGCAAGACTACATCTCAAAAAAAAAAGTAGTAGTAATTGTGTTTTAGTACTGGGGTTATGGATGTTTTTATTTTTTCCTTATACTTTTCTGTGTTTTTACATTTTCTCTAAAATTACCACATGTTACGCTTCTAATCAGGCAAAAATCAGTGAGGTTTTTGGGTTTGTTTGTTTTTAGACAGAGTTTCATTTTGTCACCCAGGCTGCACTGCAGTGGCATGATCATAGCTCACTGCAGCCTTGAACTCCTGTCCTCAAGCAATCCTCCTGCTTTAGCCTACCAAAGCACTGGGATTACAGGCATAAGCCACCATGCCCAGCCAACTATTGTTTCCCCATAGCACATATTGTGCTTTGAATCAGAGTTGGCTGATAAATGTCTGTTACCCTTTTTCTTTTCTCTTCTTCCTACCTGGACCATGGACTCGGCTCTAGAGGCCAAAGGCCATCTATGACCATGGAGACCAAAGTCACACTCTGGAAATAGGGCACAAAAGGAGAGAGAGTTTTTTTGTGTGTTTTAGCAGCTGCTGTAGCCTGCACCATCTAACCCGAAGCTGCTGTCACCCAAGAAACATGAAACTCATTTCTTATTTAAGCCATTGTTTGCAGAGGCTAAATGCAATCCTGACTGATCACTATATGCTCCATTTTTATTAAAGGAGAAAATTAGCCAGGTGCGGTGGTACATGCCTGTAGTCCCAGCTACTCCAGAGGCTGAGGCAGGAGGTAGAGAGTGCCATCAGCTATGATTGCACCACAGCACTCCAGCCTGAACCACAGAGAAAGACTCTGTTTCATAAACATAAATAAAGGAGAAAAGGGAGAAAAATTAGGTGTGTATGTGTGATCAGCATGAGCATAAACATGTGGAAGGATACATATCTTGCCATTAACATTGATAGTCAATATCAAAGGATAAGATTAGAGGCAATGGAGAGATTATGAGGTTTCTATTGTTTTTAATTAGTTAATTTTTTGAGATAGAGTCTTGCTCTGTCACCCAGGCTGGAGTGCAGTGGTGTGATCTCTACTCACAGCAACTTCCGCCTCCTAGGTTCAAGCAATTCTCCTGCCTCAGCCTTTCAATGGCAAACTCCATGTCTGCTAAAAATTAAAAAATTATCTGAGCATGGTGACACATTGCTGGTAATCCTAGCTACTCGGAAGCCTGAGATGGTGGCTGGATCCCACCTTATATGCAGCTGAACTGGGCTGGGGCACAGAGGAGCCAAGAATGTGTAGCCCAATAACAAACAAAACCACACAGCCAAACTTGCACATGATTCATGTCTCCTTGGTCAGCAGACCTTTGTTGCTCAGAGCCTTAATGGCACCTGCCCTGTGAAGCCACGTGCTTGGGGATTGGGGTGGGGACCACAGTGCTGCTGACCCAAACTTCTTTCCACAACCCGGCCTCCTGCTCCTATTTCCTCTCTCAAAGAAGCTAGGGGTTTCTTGTCTTTCTGGCTGTCTGAGTGGCTTATTCATTTATCTCTCAACATCTTGCAGCAGGTGAAGGCATTGCTTCTGTTCTTGGAAATTCAGAAGGTCTGGGACCAAGCAGTGATCCACAGGGGTTGTTCAAAGAGAGAGGGTAGAGGGAAATGGCAGTGGGTTAGTTTTGCAGGACCCAGCTAGGTTCAGGGGGAGACAGCAGAGAGAAGGGTTTCTTTCTTCTCTCTCTCTCTTTTTTCCTGTTTTTAGAGAAAGGTTCTTGCTCTATCACCTATGTTGGAGCACGGTGGCATAATTGTAGCTCATTGCAGCCTTGACCTCCCAGGCTCAAGTGATCCACAATTCTCCTGCCTCAGCCTCCCAAGTAGCTGGGACCACAGGCATGCTACCATGCCCTGCTAAATTTTATTTTTGTAGGAATGAGGTCTCACTATGTTGGTTTAAAACTCCTGTCCTCAAGAAGTTCTCCTGCCTTTTGGGGCCATTTTCCTGAAACCAGAATTGACTCTTGTGCCCCCTTTTCTTCTCTGACCCGGTAAAATTCTTCTCTTTGCAGCTTCTGCACAGAGACCAAGTGAAATTGCTTGGTTGCAGTGGATCACGCATGTCATCCCATCACTTTGGGAGGCTGAGGTGCAGTGGATCACTTGAGGTAAGGTGTTTGAGACCAGCCTGTCAACATGGTGAAATCCCATCTCTACTCAAAATACAAAAATTAGCTGGGTGTGGTTGCACACACCTGTGGTCCCAACTACTTGTGAGGCTGAGGTGGGAGAATAACTTGAACCTGGGAGCTTGCTGTGAGTGAAGATCATGCCACTGCACTCCAGCCTGGGCAACAGAGTGACTCCATTTCCAACAACAGAAACAACGAAAAGCAATTGTTAACAGAATCATGGCTCCTAAAGTAGGTTCGCCAAATAAAATACAAGAAGCCTAGTCAAACGTGAATTTCAGATGAACAACAAATTTTTTTTTAGGATACGTTATGTCCACATATTGCATGGAACATGACTGTGCTCAAGAATTATTTATTGTTTATCTGAGATTCAAATTCAGCACAGCATTCCCTATTTTTATTTACTAAATATGGCAACCTGATCATAAAATGTCTGAGCTCTCAAAGTTAAAATCAGATTTCTCAGAAAGGAAAGAGGGAGGAGGAGAGGAAACAAAAGAACAAACAATCACCTAAAGAAATCAGTGTGCCTGAGCTGTGGAAGGACCTCCTCCTGTGGGCCCAGACACAGATGCCCCAGGAGAGAGGACCAGGCTGCGTGGGATACTCAGGTACTAATACTGGTTCAGCCACCCATTTACCTGTGGGTCACCCTGGGCAGTGGTTGGGCTTCCCTGGGCTCCTGGACACCTCCTTGCAAAAGATCCACAGGCCCTTGTGTTCTGGGTGTAGTCTGTTCATCTCACTAATTCCCAGCACCCCCTCTGTCTGCAAAGACCAGACCCTGGGAGAGGTTGACACTCCTGGGTCCCTGAGAGTCTGGCTAGCAGGCAGATACAGAACTGTAAACAAATCTCCAAGATCCAAGGGGGTAGAATTTCTGCCTCCTTCTTTAGAAATAGT